ATTCAGGACATCCCTCAAATGCTGTGGACCACTCACCTTTTGCTGCACGTTGATTCCATTCACTTAGTGTGATGTCCCTCCTCAACTTAGTGTCTCTTCAAGTCAGTCGATGTTATCAAACGCCAATGTTACTTGGACGTTTGGTTGTATGCATCCTGGTAATGTAACACTTTCTTCGCTCAGTGATAATTTATGAAGACAGAGTGCTGTGTCAATCTCTTCAATTTGGGAGTATGAAACGCCATGTCCAATTCGGTTCAGAATGCGAATTAGTTCCACACACCCAGTGACTAATTTCGCAACATATGGCAGCAGGATTTGTTTTTGGAGTTTGACCTTGACACACATTTTGCCATCACAATGCCCTACCCTATAGAGTCTGTGAATATGGTCTGATACAAGAATTGATGTGTCAGTGTCTCAAGTTAAAAGCATTTTCAAGAAGAGGTTTAATGATGCAGGAATGTAGGCAGATGCATTTTTCATTTCTATTGATACTGTTGGCCAAGACATTGTAACATCTTATCCCTTGACTTCATTATTAAGCATTAAAAATACATTCATCATCATTTTATCAAAATGAGAAGTGTCTTGCTTGGCAGCTAGGAGCTGTTCCTTCAACTGCTGGTTTTCTTTGACTAGCTCAGTCAATGTTTGTCAGGATAATCCGAAGGTTTGCTTTTCTCATCAGGTATCATATGGATACTCTTCAATTTGAGTATTTGTTTGGTCAAGGTCGCACGAAACAGAGTCTGTGGAAGCTGCAGCAGCACAATCTTTGGCTTGTGGCGTCATTCCAAACTTAGTGTATAGCCAGAGCGATGGAAATCTCCTTCAGCAGCGACTTCAAAAACTGCACCCTTTTGAAAAACGAAAGATGAGAGTTATCTCTCTTGAAAAGCAGACAACACTGTTTGGATTCCTTTTTAAGAATGTTTAGTACCGGTAATGTGACTTGGAAAATGTGTACTTGATCATTTAAACTTTCCTATATGTTAAGTAGAGTTAAATATTAGCAACTGTTTTCCAATAGAAAAAAAGATTCTATGCTCACATGATGCTTCTGGCTCACATCCCGATTCTTGTTCTTATGAGGAGGCCATTGAAAGCGAGCAGTCATTGTCTCAAAATTCAACTTTAGTACAAAACATTAAGTTTGTCTTTTCTTTTGCAGAATAAAGGTCCCTTCTTATTCTAACTCAAAGGGTTATATTTTGTAATATATTCAGGTTGAAACCGAGTTCATATATGGTACTAGATGGCATTCTTCTTGGATTAATGGTAACCAAATTACATCAAAATGTAACTTAACCATCATCTGAATACATAAAGGGCATGACTATGAGCAATCGGAGTAGTTTTTTTATCAAAACATAATGACAGTCCAACTTCATACAAATCTTGTATGCTTTTAGCGCAAAACGACATTTGTCTTAAAATGCATCAAAAACCGTTCTTTACCACACCACAAAAGATAATAAATTTCACTTTTTTCAGACTTTTAACGGACTTGGGTACTTCTTAGCTTCAATCATAGCCCATTTGGGTTAAGAAAGTCTCATTGTAGTGGTATGTGCAGTTTATTTTCTGACAGGTGGTAATATTTTAAGCAGAGGTCAAATTTTGTGACCTTTTGACCTCTGGTGACCTACATTTTTACTGTATTAGTCCTATATTACATACCAACATGTAGAGCATCAGGTTACCAACATTGTGAGTGGTCATACTGCACCATATGACTATTGCTTGTAAAGTTATTCCACTTTCTGGTTTCCCCTACCCTTAAATCTTGTCCCGTGGATTCGACTCTGGGGTCCCTCTTTATGTGGTGATTACTACCACTAAGCTGTGAGTCCCGGATTGCTTTCAAAGATTTTTTTCATCTATGGATTTATGACTTTCAAAAAATCATACTGAGATTTTGCTACCCCAGGTGGTACCAATATCTGGTCTGTCTCATGGACGAACTGGAATGTCAAGCAATGTCAATTGCAGTTAGATCCGCTATCTGTTGTAGATCTCCTGTAGTCAGTGAATTATGAGAATTATCATAAGAATGTTCACATTTTTCATACCAAAAGTGGCAATGCATTAAAATTGCTTTCGTGTCACAATATTCACTCAAGTTTTCCTCAATCGCCTTTAAACATAATTCCCATTGGTCAGTTCGACACCGCATATAATTAAACAATTATTTCGAGATTTCGTTAGAATGTGAGATATTCAGCCAGACGTTATGCAATGAAAGACGATTCGTTTTTTCCCATTAAAATACGCGCACGTGTACGTGTATACTGCATACATGGTGTCACTTAATTGCCCAATGTGATGTAACAACGAGACATAAAATGGGAAATGAAAAAGAAACCAACTAAACTTTAATGTTGAGTAGAGGCGCATGATACGTATGATAAACTATCCAAACGTTTTGAGAGTTTAGGCCGGGTTCATTAAAGATCGTTACAATATGTACAAAAGGTGAAATTTGTAAAACTTCTATAAAGGAAACATCCAACCAAAGGCCCTTTTTAAATAGTAATGTAATGATATAATATAAAGTATATTTCACATGATACAATATACTTTGCACAAAATTAGTTAATGCTTTAAAGGGACTGACGAAATATTTTAATAACGCCACAAATTAGTTGAATTAAGTTAAAATGAGTTGAATCATGTGTCATGCTTGTAGACACACCTTTATGTATTTTCGAATATAAACCTGTGGAGCAAAGGAAAATATTCTCGCCCCATGGGCCGGACTATCTCGTCCAGGGCTAAATATTTCAATAACGCCGTACAATAGTTGAATTAAGTTGAAATGAGTTAAATTATATGTCATGAAACTTCTAAGAACACCTTTATGTATTTGCGTAACAAAACCACGAGTTTTGAGCAAAGGAACATATTCTCGCCCATGGGCCGAACCTTTTTCTCGTCCATGGGCGAAATATTTCAATATTGCTATAAAATTGTTGAATTAGGATAAAATGAGTAAAATTATGTGTCATGAAACCTCTAAGAACACCTGTACGCATTTGCGAAACAAAAACATGAGTTTTGAGCAAAGAAAATATTCTCGCCCATGGGCCAAACCTTTTACTCGTCCATGGGCGAAATATTTCAATATCACTATAAAATCGTCGAACTGAGTTAACTTTTGTGTCATGATACTTGAAAGAAATACATTTATGTGTTTGCGAAACAAAAACAAGAGTTTTGAGTAAATGAAAATATTCTCGACCATGGCCCTACCCATGGGCAGGTACATGGGCTACACTTCCATGGGCGACATAGTGTAAATATTGATTTTTTTAACAATATTTTTTTCATTCTTTCTTCCTTGGTATGTTACCATGAAAACAGCATGTTTAATTTTGTAAATACCCTTGACCGAGACTTGGCAAAGACCGTAGAGTATCAGGACTATTGGGTTTCCAGAATTAAAATGGGACGTGTTATATACAAGCATATTATATTACATAATACATATAATACATTAAAACAGAACAAAAACAAGTGGTCAACAGCGAGGTGCGGTTGATGGAAAGGTGTTCAATTATTAAGAAAAGCTTTTTAACTATTTAATGCTCAATACGTATCTTAAAATATGAATTAATTCTTAAGTTATTACATTAGTGCAAATCCACCACGTAGGATGTACATTTTAGTAATTTTAAATTACAGTTTATTATTATTCATTGTGTATTTGACATGAGAGGGATAGCGACACACATATATAAACATGCTGTATTTTATTATAATGATTGTACAATTTTGAATGCTTTAAACCTGTTGCATTAAACAAATATAGGATTTGATGTTGTCATATTGTGAATCAATTTATTTAAAATTCACTTAATGGCTTTGTTGTGTACTAGTCTTTCAAATGTTCTGTTTCGAACACATATAGAGTCAGCGCTCATAATCGCTGTAAGCATTCTGCACGACTTCGTTCACATTCACCTTCAAATGTACGATAGAAACATTCATTTCTGTGTGTTCAATGTTCGACTGCATTTTCGTGACAGGAGTTCGTTTAGTTATTAAAATTCCACAAACTCATAATTCATGTTGAGTTACTCGCCTCTTCTCCAGCTGCTCAAACTCTCCACTGATGCTAGCTGACTTGGTTAACTGGATTCGGGATATAACTAATTACAAACTCTCTTCTAATTATGCTAATCGAGGCAGTGCATTATACTAGATGACAAACTTAGTAATCCTGTCACGCTAATCCTTGTTTACAATGAACGCATGTCAATTGACTAAACGATCATCCTTTTTATAAACTTAAGTAGAAGTATCACAATGGACAGTGCATACAACTGTTTGAAAAAAATATCAAGCAATAATTTAAATTTAGAACATGAAATAACAGAAACATATATATTAAATTGTATATATTCATATTTGCCGGTATTCATGGTATATTTATTTTACCGTCATTGTTTATAACTACTCTGAACTACTTGTATGTGTACAGATCTGTCATCTTATTTGTAAAGAGGTGGCGTACGTATTATATATATTATTCATCTAACTGTTAGAAAAGTTTGCTCAAATGTTCTATTTCTTTATTATGTAAAATACTGTCAACATAAATAAATACAAACTATTTCATAACACTCCAAATATAGTTGTCATGATGAAAATAGTATTAAAATATTACTGTCCGGTATCATTAGTAATATTTTCAATATCAGGCACATATTGTAAGAATCCCTGTAAAAGTAAGAAGAAACTGAATGAAGCAGTGGTAAAATCTATCCATATATACAAATTGTATATTTTTGGATATACCAAATATACAAAATTGTATATTTTGGATATGTTGGAATTTTCCCTTGTGAAGGGTCCTTTGATATGTCCATCAGAATGTTATTTCAATTCTTTAAAAAAACCTCAGGTATTATATTGATTAATGAACAAACAGGTGCAAAAACATCAATACCGTTCTAATAAGAATATCAATATACGAAACCCTCGCACAGCTGTGAGCGTGTAAGCTGTGCCTTGCGTGGCCTACCTCAGCTTCACTTTACTTTAGCGTAGCCAAATAGGATTTGTCATCAACACCTGTTTAACATGCTCCGTAAGACAGGAAACCGTCGTTTTACCCTTCTGGTTTCCACTGTACTGGTGTCTGTTGGTTTTATCATATTTTCCGGTAAGTGTCAAACTTTTTAATAATACATGGCAGATTTACAACATGCGCTTGGTTGTATTTCAAAACGATTTCATACTAAGTATCCTAATAATGTTATAGCGTCTTATTTGAAGCTTCGAGCAAGAGTATAGAAACTGAAGGTAGTATTACGAAAGTTTCACATCCAATGTGTGTTATGGTGTCATCGGTGATTTTCAGCGATCCATTCATACAATTTTCACCTCTATTTATATCTAAATATACACCTAATGGAATCTGTTTCAAGACTGATTGTCCTCTGGCGTTGACGGTTTACATTTATATATGCATGGCATCATTGTCTTCATTATTGTCAACCATACAAGTTAAACTATATCTGTTCGTCAGAATTAAAGCTTGACTATTCCTTCACTCCTTGCAAGCGTGTGCAAACCAAAATCGTTATTCATTTTGGCATTGCGTTGCACATAGTATTATATATTAATTCAACTGATTTACCTTTCACAGACGAAGTAATAACATATTCCCAGTGATGTAGAGCACCGTCTCTGGATTTTATTGTTAATCACATTTCATGTCATCCTTCTCCTTTATAGAGATGTGGTTTTCAAAAGTAAATTCAAGAACTCGATTACAGACAGTGGAAGTATTGTTGAAACAGAAGCAAGAAACTCTCCTGGCCTCTTACAGAAGTTACAGAGAACAATTGGGAGATAAGGACAATGAAATAGAAGAAATTTCGAACAGATATAAACTTGCAGAGGCGAGAATACTAAACCTTTCTCTGAATCTTGAAACTCAGAGAAATAGTGCGAAGGATCTTCCAGTGATATATGCCATTACACCAACATACGCACGCAGTCAACAGAAGGCCGAACTTACAAGGCTATCTCAGACGTTTCTTCACATGTCCAGTTTTCACTGGATTGTGGTGGAAGATTCTAGTGAAAAATCTCGGTTAGTCGCCATCTTGTTAAGAAACTGTGGTGTGTCATACACACATTTGTGTGTGTTGACACCTTCAAACTCCCAGTTAAATATTAGTGGTCTCGTGAGAAAATCAAAAGGAGTGGAACAAAGAAACCTCGGGATATCTTGGCTGCGGAAAAACGTGGACCCGGAAACTCAGCCTGGTGTTGTATATTTTGCTGATGATGATAACACGTACGACTTGGGAATTTTTGCCGAGGTAAAATCTTACATGACAAATACCAGGAAAGTGGGGACACCTATCTTTATAATTTGCGAATTCCTGTTTCAGTGTGCTCTGTAGTTGTTTTATTTAAGAATAAGAACGATTTTAGTTTTTACATAAAGTATATGACTATTGTTGAAGCTCTGTTGATTGCCTCTTTATCTGCCATACACGTGCTCGCGGGTTTCACCAAAATGGTCAACGTTTAAGGCTTCCATCACTAAGGACGTTCCTCCCACATCAAGCTTATACACCGTGATATTAGTGAAAAACTGTCACACACCCTCGCTATCTCCTTCATCTCAAGAATGAAACTTTAATTTACATTACTAACCATGTTTTTGTTTCACAAATTATAAACACTAGTGTGTTTCCTGTAGATGCGACGGACTCGGAAGGTTTCTGTATGGCCCGTTGCATTTGTTGGAGGTAAAAGATATGAAGCGCCTATTGTGAAGAATGGAAAGGTAGAATAACATTAATTGTATATTCAGGCATGAATAAGTGAAATATCATTTCATGTTCTTGGGGTTTGGAATTTGCCCTAGATGTTTTAAACAAGGTGAATTATTAGTTGCTCCTGTTACTGTACAGTACAAATAACATTGCCATTCCTGGTATTAGGAGTATCCTGGTATGAAAGACCATTATATATTCTTTGGGTTTGGGATAGAAACACAAGGAAAAAATATTTTTTACAATAAAAATAGTAACAACGTTTTATTGCTCCTGTTACAGTAAAAATACCATTGCCATTCCTGGTATTTGAGCTACCTTTAATTAGCGAATCATCTTTACGGAGTAAAGTACTTTGCAAGAACGTTCTTTTGAAAAGTGTCTGAAAATCTGATGTCTTCACTGTTCCGGACTAATGATGTTCCACTGTCTAGGACCATGTCGTTGGTGCCACTCTGAAGCATTTTCTCTCACTACAGGTGACTGGTTGGCGGGTGAGCTTTGATCCAAGTCGAAAGTTCGCTATAGACATGGCAGGTTTTGCTATGAACCTTCGTCTTTTCTTTGAACAGCCTGATCTTCAATTCTCCCATTACGCACGACCAGGATCTCAGGAATCCTATATCATCTCGAAGACCAATATAACTCTGAATGATCTTGAGCCTCTGGCGGATAACTGTACAAAGGTATGCATTGCCATGTTCTCACTCACTTGTTGAGACCGCCTCCGTGGTCTAGTGGAAGAGCGTCCGCCCGGAGAGCGGAAGGCCCAAAGGACGTGAATTGATGGTATTTGTTGTAACCCTGCACGATGCTCTGCATTAAGGGCTAATGGTATGATACCTCACTGGTCTAGCACTATAAAATCGGCATTAGTCCGGACTAGTTCAAGCAGCCACACACACATGCATACACGTTGCTATTTAAGTTCTATAATCTTGGACGCGGCGTTGAACCCCATTTCACCTCACCTTTGCATTTTCAGGTTATCAATCCCAGGTTATGTTCCTTGGTCTGTCAGCACTATACCATGTTTAAGGGTGTCACCGAAGTGTCGCCTATCTCCTTGTACCTGCTTCAATTCGTGCTTTCCACCAATATTAACTGACATGCTGTGGTATAACTGAATTACTGTGCCAAGTCGCGTTAGCGTGAAATGACTCAACTTTACCAATTGCCACTTTCAGAGTATATTTTACGAGCTGATTGTTTTACATGATGTTTCACTTCCAATGATTTGTTCTGATACAATACTGCTCAAAGCGTCAATCACATTCACTCATTCACTCTTTCTTTGACAGGTGCTTGTGTGGCACACTAGGACGCTACCCCCTGAATTAAGAAAGGAAGAAAAAATGAAGGTGAAATTCGACCATGGATCTAACTTCATTGTTGAAGTATAGTGAAGTCATATTATCCACGATATATTTCCTGTGGATAAAACATATTTAATTTTGCTTTGATTTCGACATTAGAACACAGGACATATGCTTTTGTTAAGGGAGACAACGCTTCACTGATTGGACTGCCGAGGAGTGCCCTCATGAGTGAATTATCATAAGTAAAATGTGCGAAAGTAAATGAAGGAAGGACATGACACAACTCATACAGGTTGCATTTAGATATTCTTTTCATCAAACACTGCAAAGGCTTTTAAATAGTCCCTTACATATTTAAATTAAAACTCATTTGACCAAGCATGGCTGGAGGACTGCCTTGTGGCGTAATGCAACACACACTGACCGGCAGGTGCTACCGGTAGTGCAGGAGAACACCTGCTGTCATCACTCATTTGACCAAGCATGGCTGGAGGACTGCCTTGTGGCGTAATGCAACACACACTGACCGGCAGGTGCTACCGGTAGTGCAGGAGAACACCTGCTGTCATCACTCATTTGACCAAGCATGGCTGGAGGACTGCCTTGTGTCGTTATGCAACACACTGACCGGCAGGTGCTACCAGTAGTGCAGGAGAACACCTGCTGTCATCACTCATTTGACCAAGCATGGCTGGAGGACTGCCTTGTGGCGTAAGGCAACACACACTGACAGGCGGGTGCTACCGGTAGTGCAGGAGAACACCTGCTGTCATCACTCATTTGACCAAGCATGGCTGGAGGACTGCCTTGTGGCGTAAGGCAACACACACTGACCGGTGGGTGCTACCGGTAGTGCAGGAGAACACCTGCTGTCATCACTCATTTGACCAAGCATGGCTGGAGGACTGCCTTGTGGCGTAAGGCAACACACACTGACAGGCGGGTGCTACCGGTAGTGCAGGAGAACACCTGCTGTCATCACTCATTTGACCAAGCATGGCTGGAGGACTGCCTTGTGGCGTAAGGCAACACACACTGACCGGTGGGTGCTACCGGTAGTGCAGGAGAACACCTGCTGTCATCACTCATTTGACCAAGCATGGCTGGAGGACTGCCTTGTGGCGTAAGGCAACACACACTGACCGGTGGGTGCTACCGGTAGTGCAGGAGAACACCTGCAGTCATCACTCATTTGACCAAGCATGGCTGGAGGACTGCCTTGTGGCGTAAGGCAACACACACTGACCGGTGGGTGCTACCGGTAGTGCAGGAGAACACCTGCTGTCATCACTCATTTGACCAAGCATGGCTGGAGGACTGCCTTGTGGCGTAAGGCAACACACACTGACAGGCGGGTGCTACCGGTAGTGCAGGAGAACACCTGCTGTCATCACTCATTTGACCAAGCATGGCTGGAGGACTGCCTTGTGGCGTAAGGCAACACACACTGACTGGCGGGTGCTACCGGTAGTGCAGGAGAACACGTGCTGTCATCACTCATTTGACCAAGCATGGCTGGAGGACTGCCTTGTGGCGTAAGGCAACACACACTGACCGGTGGGTGCTACCGGTAGTGCAGGAGAACACGTGCTGTCATCACTCATTTGACCAAGCATGGCTGGAGGACTGCCTTGTGGCGTAAGGCAACACACACTGACTGGCGGGTGCTACCGGTAGTGCAGGAGAACACCTGCTGTCATCACTCATTTGACCAAGCATGGCTGGAGGAGTGCCTTGTGGCGTAAGGCAACACACACTGACCGGTGGGTGCTACCGGTAGTGCAGGAGAACACCTGCAGTCATCACTAATTTTCAGTGATCCATTAATATAATGTTCTCGTTTGCCATTTACACCCAATGGAATCCGTTTCGGTGGATAATTGAGCCCGTTATTCTCTGACGTTGACGTTTTACGCTATGTTTGCACTGTAAATATGTCTGTATGATTAAGACGTGTTGCATTTCATGTAATTTTTCAAGGCTAGTATAAAACTGTACTATAACACGTGTGTATGCGTGTGTGTTGTGCACAAACCCGTGCGTTAATTTGTAATTCCTATATATTTATTCTATAATAACCCATTAACGTGTGTTGAAACAACTTTCCAACAGTCAATTTTCCATTTATGTCAAACAATAGTGACTTGTACCATGTGTTCCCGTGTATTATCGGGTGAACAAATGACTTGTCTTTGCATGTGTGTTTGACAGGTGCACCAGTTTTGCAGGATATGCTCATCTTTTTACACACAGCCACCATTACTAGTTGATATTGATTCATTAACACTTGCTCATGATGTAGTCTGAATCGTACAATCCACTCTGCTTTTATCACATATTTCTTGTGACTATGGAAAGGGTTTTATCACTTTTGTTTTTTTATGCATGGTAATATAAAGGAGGTGAGACCTCAATACACTCTCTCTCTCTCTTCTATTTGTTTTTTATCCGAAGGACTTGACACAGGGGAACATATTCCCCAAGCTCCTCACAGCGATAGTCCGTTCGCGGAACCCTCTATACTATCGCTGCCACCAGTCAAAACTCCCCACTGTGAATAGGTGGCCACAACCATGCTTGGAGTTGAACTCGCAACCGACTGACCGTTATGTTTTCAAACAAGTGACGACTGTCGTGACGTCGAATACACTTATCGCTGCTAAATTACTTTCTTCGTTTGTCAATTTGAATTTCTGTTTCATAAAAACTATCATGTTATTGATATAGTAAGAATGTAAGGGAGAAGTTGGATTTTCCGTTAGTCTGTTAGTCTCGAACCAATCTGATTATCAAAACAACAAAGTAAATTCATCTTGAAAACATAGTCAGTCGTAAACCTTTTCAAAATGAAATATAATGGCATTCCCAAAGACATAAACAAAAGTATAAACGTTACTACATATGGGGTTAGAGGGCAAATTTCAAGATTCTTGTAATGGCCGCGCCCACACTGGTGGCAGCGATGTTACCGAGAGTGTAACGAAGGTGTCACGCGCTGGGAAGGAGCTTGCATATTCCCAAGGCAAGGGAGTTAACTGACTTTAAAAGTCCAGTTTCCACACTTGCCGAACTAGGCTGGAATTATGGAGTCATGTATAGTCTGTTAATAAACAACATGGCAACCGCCGTGCCGAATTTGTTCGATTGCAGGATTTGCATAGCATGTGTACCGTCAAGTGGGTGTCGACAGATATTTTCCAAGTATTTTCATGTTTTTAATCAAGCTACACAAATGAGCGAGGTAAAAACCGTTTTATTACAATAAAGGTCTTTAATATCGATGAAATCTCCTTGATCGCCATTTTGTTTGAAGCAAGTGCAAGAGATAGGAGAGGTGGAATCTGATTGGTCAGTAGGGGGGACATGGAAGGGACATAACTCGTAATAGTCAATGGTGGCGCTAAAATCGAGCATAGAAATTCCAGCATAGTTCGGCAAGGGTGGAAACTGGACTTTTAAAGTTAGTTAAATCCCTTGCCTCGGGAAGATATAGAGGGAGGAAAGAGTTTAGCTGCTTACATAATGATTACTTGTCACCTCCGTATGTTTTGGGGGGCACGGGTGGCCCAGTCGTCTAAGGCGCCGCGATTCGCTGTGCAGAGTTGCGTCCCTTGGGCACGCCAGAAACCTATGATTGTGGGTTCGAATCCCGGTTCGCCCCGATTATGTTTCTAGGTTTGTCAGCACCATACCCGTGCTCGTGGGTTTCACCGAAGTGGTAAACGTCTGAGACCTACATCACTTCGGGCTTTCCTCCCACATTAAGCTGACACGCCGTGATATAACTTGAATACTGTTAAACGCGGCGTTAAACCAAACTCACTCACTCACTCACTCGTATGTTTTGAGTACGCTAATCTGGCCAGGGTATGTATTTCCCAACACATATGTATGAGTTTCAAATGCATACAATCCGGTTTTTGATCCAGATGTTAGGGGTCATGGATATGTTATGGGATATTTTTATGAAATGGTGTGCTCAGTCTTCACTACATAAAATATCCCCAAACATGATATGCAAACGATAACGTTACAATTTCACTAATTTACGAACAAAATGGCGTCGCACATATTTGAACAAATTCGTAATCGACGATTTCGCGGACGATTTTCCACGGAGATGTTTCGTTTTCAACACGGTAATCGGGAAACAAACGGGCTTTCGCATAATGTTTTTGGTTTTTACATTGGTGGAGATTTACAACCTGACAAGACGCTCAAAGTATCCAGTGCGCAATGTCAACAAAACAGCCGCCATGGACATTTTGTAAAAAATCGCATATTCAATACGTTTGCCGAGCTATAAACTACTGTTAATCACGTTAATACTTTACAATATTTACATAGACAGTTAGGGAAATGGTTGTACTTTTATAGTGTGAAATTTGAAAATTGTGGGTTTTATCGTTGTTACGTTACGTCGTTTTTAGACGAAGGTGTTCAGTTTCCAGAACGTCACTCGCAAATAAACTCGGCACAGCGATAGTACACAGGCTATTTTTAGGTGGCATCCTAAATATGTGTTCAGTATATGTTGGCCCGATCAACACAATGCGTCAAGCGTGTGCTCTTTGTACAGTGTATACTTCAATTTACATGCACACTTACATTTCACTATATCAATGTAACCTTGAGCATTGACTAATGATTGTTTGATATAAACAGTCTACAGTATTGACGGATGCCGAACATATTAATGAAAACTCTTGAGTACACCCCAAGCTATAGTGCAACCTGCTAATATGTTCAGATGATATATTGAGATTACTACACGAGTGTTTCAAAGCCATTCGTCACCACTCGCCCCTTTCTGTAACCTGCAAGAAGACTCGTCCCCCGATCGATGAATGTTATGCGCGAAAATACGACAAACCAATCAGAATGCGCGTATGATTTCAAGTTCTTCGTCAAAGAATCCCTCAGAAATATTTTTTGATTTTACATATGTCTTGCATCTAAAGATATATATAAAAGACACAGTTGAATGTGTTCAATCATACTGTATAATTTTGCACATCCCGATGTGGATTAAATTGCATCTGAAATATATATAATATATGGAGAAATGTAAGTGAACCATTACGCAACGAGTTGACAAATGTTTTAGGTATGCCCGTTCGCGCTAAGACGGAACCCGGTCGCAAAAATGGCCATGCGCGGGGCACGAGTCGCTATTCGGCTTGTCCCGGACTAACACGAGTTGGCCACGAATGTTTCAAATCGTATCTAACTCGCTTAAACCACGGATCACAATTTATCATATAATGGGTAGATTTCTCGGCAGGATAAAGCCAATGGATAAAAACGATAACCGTTGGGGTCATATGCGGATAGAGATGCAAATTTCAAAGGTAAAGAAGGGACTACTTTCAGTGTTTATAAACAAACATGGCCTCGCCCTTTTCATTCAGTGATCGAGTCAGAATCTGTATAAACTAAAGGGATAATTGCTATAATTATCAAAAGAACAGTCTAATATACTGAAAATCAATGTCCAACTGTGACGTAGCTAAGGCATTTTATATGTTTTGGCAACTTTGGAGATATAAATTTCGAAACAATTTTGCGAGGGCACTAGGCCTAGCCAAGCGGGATCAGTAGCCATATCTGTGCTTGTAGACCTAGACCTCTGTGGCTTGAAACCTTTTCCACAAATTAAAATGGTTGGATTTGGCCGAAATATGTAGTTCTTTCAACTATCATGGCACAATATTTAACTCTTTTTAACCTAATTCAACGATTTTATAGAGATATTGAAATATTTCGCCCATGGACGAGAAAAAGGTTTGGCCTATGGGCGAGAATATTTCCCTTTGCCAAAAACGCATGTTTTTGTTTCCCAAATACATACAGGTGTTCTTAAAAGTTTCATGACATATAATTTAACTCATTTCAACTTAATCAAATTATTTTACGGCGTTATTGAAATATTTCGCCCTGGACGAGATAGTCCGGCCCATGGGGCGAGAATATTTTCCTTTGCTCCACAGGTTTATTTTCGAAAATACATAAAGGTGTTTCTACAAGCATGACACATGATTCAACTCATTTTTACTTAATTCAACTAATTTGTGGCGTTATTAAAATATTTCGCCAGTCCCTTTAAAGCATTAACTAATTTTGTGCAAAGTATATTGTATCATGTGAAATATTCTTTATATTATATCATTACATTACTATTTAAAAATGGCCTTTGGTTGGATGTTTACTTCATAGAAGTTTTACAAATTTTACCTTTTTTCATATTGTAACGTTCTTTAATGAACCAGGGCCTAACTCTCAAAGCGTTTGGATAGTTTATCATACGAATTCATGCGCGTGTACTCCAATTCATCTGCGTTATTTTCCACAACATTAAAGTTTTGTTAGTTTCTTTATCATTTCACATTTTATGTCTCGTTGTTACATGACACTGGGCAATTAAGGGACACTGGGTATGCGGAGTATACCCTGATCGTCTTATTTCCTAAACAAATTAATACCCACATTGTCTAATTACTCGTGAGCCCAGATTGCCTAATCTGTGTGATCACTAATCCATGCGTTCTCCCGGAGTAGGCCATGTTGAGCAACGGGGAAGTCATAGCTGTTTAAGCTTTAAACCAACACTGCTCTTACGTGGGAATATTAGCGTTGTATAGCGTTCATCGTATTCCGACGACGTAAATCCTAATCACTGATGTGTCTTTGCCAATACTCGAATATAGCTGTAACATTCACGAGTGCAGCGTTAAACAACAAACAAACTACATTCAGTTATAAAATTGTTCACTGCATGGTTTCAAGTAATGTTAGTGTGTAACTGAACACCTAGGGAGGTCACCTGCTGGTGTATCTCAGCTCATGGTCAATACGAACGTGTGGCCACACAATACCATTTTGGATTTATACATTTGTTACATTAGACCACTTTCAAAATAGCATTGTGTATTCATAGCTTTCGGCCATGGGAGCCGTGCCAATTTACACTTGTCAGAGGGGTACACAAAGAACGTGATCTAGACTACTAGGACTACTAGTTGTCAGACTTTCATGTTGTGGAAGCCTCGGTGGTTGAGTGGGTTAGATCGCTGACTTTGTGTGCTGGCGATTAGGTGCCTCACTCTGGCAGTGTGGGTTCGAACCCCGGATGGGACTCAACCCACAACAGTACGAGAATCTGTACTTCACGAAGAAAGTGTTATCCCAAATATTACATTTGTTAAGTACAAACGTAGCTATTGAGAATACCACCATGGCACACTAACCTATATATAAATTCATTCACACATTCCACATTATATTGGGGGCACGGGTGGCCCAGTCGTCTAAGGCGCCGCGATTCGCTGTGCAGAGTTGCGTCCCTTGGGCACGCCAGAAACCTATGATTGTGGGTTCGAATCCCGATTCGCCCCGATTATGTTTCCAGGTTTGTCAGCACCAT